CAAATAATTACATGTTAATTCTATGTTTTACACCACATAACGTCATAACCACTAAGAAACCTCCAGTACACCATGTTGATAACACTTATAAACAATCGCAACACTCACAAGCAGTATGGCGTAATAAAATTGAAACATATTCACTCCGAAAATGGCTGTAGTAGGTAAGAAACTGTCAATCTATTATCAAAACGTTCGAGGGTTGCGGACTAAGTGTTTAGAACTTTATAATAGCTTGTTGTGTATGAACTATGATATAATCATACTCACTGAGACGTGGTTGCAAAATGATATATTGGATAGTGAGCTGTGTGACACCCGCTATGACATCTTCCGTTGTGACAGAGACCTTAGCTTATGCAACAAGTCGGGCGGGGGCGGGGTTATGATTGGCGTTCGTAGGTATCTGGGAGTAACTGTTGTGAATGAATGGACTAGTGATACCGCTGAATCTCTGTGCGTACNTATTCTATTTTCAATACATCTGAATAATTACTTTTGCAGTTTGAATACTTCACGCTCATAGCCAGCATCATCATGATTAAATGAGTTATTTTGTAACTAGCAGTAAGTTATCACTTAAAAAGTTAAAATAGTGTTTAGTATAATATAAAACAACTTACCGAAAATCCCAGTTCTCGTGAAATTTCAGAAATATTCCTGCCAAGTTCATGAAGAGCAACGATTCTTGCTCTTTCTTCAATAGAAATGTTTTGAGAGGCCATGGTCCAGTAATCGCGCCGAGGTCAATAAAAAGGCAATCAAACAGTCCAATTACTAGCACGGGTCAACACAAAACAAAATCAATCGGTCCAGTAAGAAAGCACAGGTCGTAGGGATCACAAAACTTCACAAAAAAACAAAGGAGAGATGTCGACAGTTCGCCAAAGCAAAAAGCAGACTGACCTCGTATAAAAAATATACTAATATTTAAAAAAAATATCTATTTGTTTGTAACCAAATTCTATTATTCTATTATTTGAAGAAAAAAACATTTAGTTTTAAACCTTAACTGTATGACGATAAAGTGCACAATGGCATGTGGCAACTCTTAGACTTATTCCGTATTGCAACCTAAGCTCCGATTGTCTCCTATTGGTCGTAGTAAAAAATATAGTAAAATGCGTAACCAATTAGAGACGGGGTGAGCACGTGACCGGAGCGATGCGCTTACGCAAAATTTTCTACAAAGTGGTCAGGCGGAAGAGTCCCCGATAGTACGTGAAATCTAAAAGAGGCGGTTCAAGTTACCCTAAACAATTTAGTTTGAATAATAATTCGCTCTCAGATGGACAAACTATTTGTAATGCTTTTAATTCATTCTTCGAAAGTGTTTTTTCAAATAATTCATCATCTTCCAATCTTGCTGACCCTTCTTCTAATCCTCCCCCAAACAATCAAATAGTATCACAAATATACGTATCTGCAGCCATGGTTGAAAAACACCTTAAAGGTTTGGACAAAAGCAAGGGAGCAGGATGTGATGGTATACCCCCAATGTTTTTATCTATGTGCGCTAAAAGTCTGGCTTTACCTATATCAATTTTATTCTCTTTTTCTCTGAAAAAATGTGATTTCCCCGCAATTTGGAAAAAAGCCCATATTATTCCCATCCATAAAAAAGGTTCTAAATCTATTATTTCAAATTATCGACCAATCTCTATACTTAATACTATCGCAAAAGTTTTCGAAAAAATTGCATATGAAAACCTTTATCAAATCATTGCTCGAGGTGTACCGTCCTCACAGCATGGATTCTTGAGAGGTCGCTCTACTGTCTCCAATTTGTCTGTCTTCACCAACTATGTCCTTGAGCACATGGAAGGTGGCGGCCAGGTTGACGTGATCTACACAGATTTCGAAAAAGCATTCGATCGGGTGGATCACGTCATTCTGCTTCACAAGTTGGAGTCTCTGGGCATACACGGTGACTTGCTGCGATGGATTGCCTCGTATCTAAGAAACCGTTCTCAGGCAGTCGTACTGGGTGGATACAGATCGGACTTTGTGGCAGTGCCCTCGGGCGTTCCGCAGGGCTCTCATCTCGGGCCTCTTTTTTATAATGCATACTTATATGACATTAATACATGTTTCAGTAGCGCTAAGTACCTTTTATACGCGGACGACAAAAAGGTTTTCATGAAAGTCAGCTCTATTAGTGATTGTTTACTGATTCAACAGGATCTCAATAGTCTAGTAAATTTCTATTCAAAAAACAACATAACAATCAGTATACCAAAATGCCAATGTATTAGCTTTACACGCAAGAAACAACCAATCATATTCAATTATAATTTTAACAGTATTGCAATAGAGAGGGTCGAGCTAATTCGTGATTTGGGAGTCTGGCTAGACTCTAAAATGTCGTTCTCGGATCACGTAGATAACATAGTTGGCCGTTCGTTTCGTAACTTGGGCTTTGTGATGCGCACCTGTAAACCTTTCACCGATCTAATTAGCCTCAAAATTGTTTATTTCGCATACGTGCGGAGTATCTTAGAGTACGCTTGTTCCATTTGGTATCCATTTTACGCCGTTCATAAAAATAGAATTGAGAGCATACAAAAGAGATTTATTAACCATCTAAACTTTAAATTAAAAACAAGAACACGTACATCATACACCGACAACTGCCGCGAATACCGAATGCTGACGCTAGAACAACGCCGCAAAATGCTGGACATGGGGCTCCTGCATGACGTAGTGCGCGGGCGCCTGGACTGCCCGGAGCTCGTGGCGCAGTTGGCGCTGCGGGCTCCGGCGCGTCGCACGCGCCACACGACCTTGTTTAGTCACGAGTTTGGGTGTTCGAAAATGAATTAAAGCCAACAAAAATTGTTCGTTCACGGAGTGTTGCAAAAAAAATGGTGGCCACGTTTGTCTCCAAAACCGGCCATGTTGCGACTATTCCTCTTGGGGGACAAAGAACGGTTAATGCAGATTAGTATGCTAGCATTTGTTTGCCACAGGTCGTTTCTGAACTCCGTAAAGAGAACTGCAACCGCCGCATCATCCTCCATCACGACAATGCGAGTTCTCACACCGCGCACTGAACAAAGGAGTTTTTAGAGCAAGAAAACATAGAATTATTAGTCCATCCGCCGTACAGCCTCGACCTAAGCCCTAATGATTTCTATACTTTCCCTTAAATAAAGAATAAATTGCGTGGTCAGAGATTTTCATCACCTGAAGAAGCTGTGGAAGCCTACAAAACGGCCATTTTGGAGACCCAAACTTCCGAATGCAATGGTTGCTTCAATGATTGGTTTCGTGTATGGAAAAATGTGTCAAATTTCGCGGAGAATACTTTAAAAAGCAATAAATACATTTTTAAATAGTAATGTTGTTTCACTTCCTTGATTCCCGAAATTTTCAGTGCCGCCCTCGTAGCAGTTCACCAAAAAAGGATTCATTCTTCATCAATGATTTTAAAGTAGATCATAGTACAGTCTTTGCAAGAGAACACTAGAGAAATTGACCAATTAAGATGCTCTCAAATGCATTAAAATAATGAAATTCATAGTGAAAACTTTTGCAATATGGATAAGAACACTGATTCTCTCAAAAATCACAGCCCTGTAGATATTGAATAGGAGGACTAAAGCCTTAGTTGCACCACCTCTATAACTCTAACCGTAACACTAACTATAATCGATGCTTTGCATGGAGTTGATAGACTTTGACGTTTTTTATAGTCAAAGTAAGATGGTACAACCCATGGTAGGTAATTTTCTCAACATACATGTCTAACGCCCATACTCACAAACGATGCTTGCTTAATAAGTGAAGCAGAAAATCGAACGCACAGCGTTAAATAGAACTCTGAGATTAGTTCATGTGTCACCCTGTGCGTCCACGCGCTGTGTGAGACCTCATAGTAATGTTTGTGAATACGGGCATAAATGTTTCAAGCAAGTGTTGGTTTTATTATTCCAAATTAATGGGCGTTATTCCGTATTAAGTATCGCTATGAATCACGCAATTGTGGCGGACTAATTGTCTTTATCAAGAGAATCGTTTAGCTCAGATGGCATTTTGATTTAAGATTTTTCGCATTGGTTTATGACTCCATGTTTACAAAGCTTTAGGGCTTGTTCCCATAGAAATCCAGTTTTGCGGAGTCCAGTAATGCTGGATCTGAAAACTGGACTGTCGTATGAATACAACTTTCAAAAAGTGTGTTTGAAAGTATTCCAAATTCGAAAGGATCGATTTTTGCAGGAGACTGCAAATGAGAGATATTCGTGTGAAAGTTATTATTATAAAACGTTTTACTACTAAACGGATCCTGCAAAAAACGGGATCTCCGTGGGAACAAGCCCTTCTATCTATCAGAGGGTATTTATTTGTTCTCATCTCTGATAAAAATATCATTGTAAATGACTCAGATTTAATTTGTCTTTTGTTTACACAGACGACTTTGATGTCCAGTTTAATTCAGAATTGAAAAGATTTGCCTATGGATAGTCAAATTTTGGGAATTTTCAGTCGAATAAATAATTATCAGTTTTTGAACTATCAAGTCCTATAACTTTCATAAACTATTTGGACCTAGTATCTGAATAATTAGAGTTACTTTTCTTGTCATGGCTTTGACATTTCTCATTTTGTGATCACCACCTTTAGATATTTTGATTATAACACAACTTGTCACCCAAACGTTTCTTAGCACTACCTAAAATATAGCAACTGTCTTAATGCGTATGGCTAACTGAAAACCGGTCTATTTAACTACATTTAGCTATTTGACTATTTAATTATAATGCATTATGGTTCACACAATTAAAAATGGCACATTCAGTGCTTAGGCTGTCAGTGTATGGCTCTTAAAAGAACTTGTAATATACTTCGTAGTTCAATTATAAGTAAGTACTTGTACTTGTACTTAGTAAGTACTTGTAAAACACTTCAAAGAAGGCTTTTAGTAACATTATACTTGGGAAAAAGTAAATACATGCCATTATCAGAGAAATTGATATTTCCAACGTTAAACTTTATGTTTCCCAAGATAATGGATGTATTATATTTCGTCGAATATAAATAATAGGAAAAAGCAGAAATGCATAAATCAGTCGGTAAATGAATAAGTGAAATAATATACGTTTTATACATAAAGTTTTATATCACATAATAAAAGCATAAAGAAAAATTTACATTCTAAATAAACCAAAAATCACAGTTTCTCTGGACTTATTCATAACCTGTCCAGGTTAATTTTTACATAAATTAATTATAAGTCGTAGGGAAAAAAAAATATAATGTCTTTTGAACTAAATTAAAAGCTACCTAAATTTTCCGTTCTATATAGATTTTTCCCCTAAATTAATTCTGTACTGATTCGTCGTGAATCCTAAGTCTTAATCAAATATTCATCATTGCATTAATGAAAATATAAAAATTGTTTAATTCCTAGTGGTTTAAGAAACCTATATTATCATACATGTTAACATTCTTTATATATATATAGATTTAAACGTCGTAACTACCGCAGTGTCACAATTTCACCGTTGTATATTAATATTTCGATTACTCAGTAGGCCAAATATTATAATAGTTACAATAGTAAAAATTAGGCTCTCCAGTCCTTATGCTATTCGGAACTTTGCGATAGGATCGTCCGTCACAAGTCAGTCTTAGTGGACCTATACTTACAACATCCACAATGTAACACAGCACATTCACGTGAACACTAGAGTGTCTGGCCGAAGGTGGAGAGACTGCAGGGTCTGCGTGTTGTGGGCTGGACACGGCTTGGCGAGGAGATCGGGGCGCGCAGGTCGGGCCGCCCGGGCGCACATTCACCGAGCCAACGGTGCCAGCACCGCCGACGCTGCCAGGGCAAGAGCCAGAGACGACGCCAGCGCCGCCCCGCGGGAGTAAGACAGCTCCTCGCTTTTGACGACCTCGTTCTGGGTCTTGTCGTATTTGTGCGTCTTCTTCGTGACCGGCTTCGGCGTTGTCGTCGAGGTTGTGGTGCTGGTTGATGGTGACGGAGGCGGCGGCGGCGGCGGTAAGGTCGGCTGCGGCGGCGGCGCCGGCGACTGGTCCTCCGCCTTGCAGCACACACGAAAGACCAGTTTCATGTTGTGCGTCAGACAACGGCCTCCGATACGCCGGTGCAAATCGTCCTTACTCGACGTGGATATGAAGTAGTAATCCTTCCCTGGAAGGAACTCCAACCCACCAGGCTGCGGCGTGAACGGTCGGAACGTTATTGTGAAGAACATCAACTTATGAGGCTTATCACATATCGCTATTATACGGGGGTTCGGATTCGTTATCCTACACGTATCGTACTCCTCTTTGCTAACGTTGTATATTATGTACTTCTCCGTGTCCTCCTCAAACGTCCCTGGAGCGTACACTGGACATATTATATTCACTTGGTCGTACTCGAACTGGGCATTGCCTTTATTGAGATCGAATACGTGATCGGTGTTGTCTATTCGGAATATACTATTTGTTGTGTTCCAATGTATGTAGAAGGACTTCGCGTAGTTCCCCATCACGCTTTCGATGAAAAATATGAGCACTAATAAGGTCCAAGGCGTCTGCCGAAGGCCAAAATAAGCTAGCGACACCATTCTGTCTTCAGCCAACTCGCATAATCCGATCGAACTCGCGTTGGACAATCGGCGTCTAAACCCTGCTGGGTACGCACTCACACCAATCCATATTCCAGTTATAAAATCCACTGTGGCCGTTCCAACATAGTTTAACACACACAATTCACACAGAAAACACTATTAAACAGTTCAATTTTCGTCACTCAACCGATGGGTCCTCCATGTTTCGTTTCACGTTAGATTCTATTCGTCGATAAATGTGGAATTCCGAGACGTGGCTTGAGTTTTAACGCGTCGGATTGTTCACTTTTTCCGGTACAAATTAGTTATTTTGGATGCTAGTTGCCGCGGGAACACTTTTTGTGTAAGTATATTGTCAGAATTAATCAATACATGACGGATTTTTACAATACTTGGATGTTCTTTGTATTGTGGGCGAGAGACGCGTTTCGTACGTGCCGTGCGCCGCGCGGCGGTCCACCGAACTACTGGTATGCGAGGCGAGCCTGTACGCATGCGGCCTCCCCCTGCCCCTCTCCAACCCCTCGCAAACGGTCGCGTTCACGAAAGCTTAAACTTTACAGTTGGCATTCTTGGAGAATTAAAACTCTTTGCTGTCAATTTTCGAACAAAACCTCCTTTCGAATCCTAAATTTCAAATACTGAACACGTTTAAACAAATCAACGTTCGATTTTTAGAAACAAAACTACTTTTTGAAAACAGAACTCGAGCTTTCTTTTTAACTTTCGGTGAACGCATTGGCAAAGGCGTAAAAAAGAGCTTACACGATCCGAAGCGAGACTCAGTGAGACAAGCTCGTAAAACTGGGGTCATAGGATGCAATGCGAGACAATTTTGAATACTATAAATACCTTTACACTTGTGTTATCACATTAAGGATTGAATAAATCTTGTCTATATTAACCTAAGGTATAAATAAATGAATGTTTTGTATTATTAATAACGAAATGCCCAATTTTCTTTGTCAGCTGGTTACGGCGTCGATATAGTTACCTATAATAATATAGGTAGAGAATGTATGGGAGAGTCACACCTTCAATTTGCTTATTTCGGCGTGGAGAGTCAAAAGCTCTGACGATGAGTAATAATTTATTGGAACGTCTCGTACATAAAATTGAGTTTAACAATATAAAATTGTTTGTTTTTTTATGAAGAGGACCTTTAAATTTTTTGTTCTTATATTAATTCAAAGCTTTTTCATGACCGTACCTATTATTTTTTATGAAATATCAATAAATAAAATAAACGCATTTATGTATGAATGAATTTTTTTACAAAAGATGCCTTTCAAATATTAAAAACGAGGTCTAACGAAAGATTCACTATAAAAACTTAAAAAAGCTTTCTTTTAAGCTTTTGTTCTAAAGTTGATAATAAAAATAATTAACCCTTAACCACCTACCTGCGGTCTCAGAGACCGCAACGATTTTTCAAATTCAAATATTTCCGCGTGTGAGTGGCGTGCGACAAAGCGCGTTCATGTACCTTTTCTACACACCATTCGGTGTCGCGCTAGTGCTCGGCGAGTGTGTACGTGCACGCGTTTGGCCAGGGTAAGTAAAATAAATTCGCCAGCGGTCTCCGTGACCGCACGTAGGTGGTTGTGTGACTTTTTATTATTACTGTTTTAGAATCAAAATGAGTAAAAATGACGAAAATATTATAAGATGGCTTCAGCAAGAAATCTCGGACGAAGATGTGGCGACGATTGCATCCACGTCAAACCTGATGTAAGCGTTGATCAAGAGCAGGCTGAAGAGAGTGGATCTAAATCTGAAATTGAGGGTGACGAAGACGAAAATGATGATGATGATGACTTGAAGTTCGTAAAACATACTTTACGTATCATCCAAAAAAGAAACGCAACACGTCTTACCCATGTTTCGTGTGTAAAGTACCTATTTGTTTGGAGTGTTCGCAAAAAATGAGTTGTTACTGCCGCGAAAAAATGCATAAGTTGAGGCTTTGCAATTTTGTTATTTTTTTAATTTTTTGTTTAGTTTTTTTATTTAATTTTATTTTTAGTTTATTTAAATTATTAGAAATAAGAAAAAGAAGTGAAAAATTTAAGTATTTTAGAATAAAGATCTCATTTTCTTAGTACAGTTATTTTTGGTGCCATATTCCTTATGTCATAGATATTATATCCTATAGGTGGTAGCAAGCGCCTTTCTTTTTCTGGCATACTTAATGTGAAAGCATTTAGTAGGATTCAGGGTCATATTGTTGGCGTCACACCAATCTTTTATTTTGTTTAGATCTATTTGTATAAGGTTGGAGTCAGCAAGGGACCCAACAGTTCTGTAAACCTTAAGATCATCGGCGAACATGGATATTTTGCAATGTTTGATTTGAGCTGTTAGGTCGTTGATAAAAATTAAAAAGAGGACCGGGCCCAGGTGTGAACCCTGGGGAACACCAGACTTAGACAGATATGTGTCCGAATCATAGCCATTAACTGCAACACGTTGGTGCCTGTGTGTCAAGTATGACCTAAACCAGTTCAGCAGAGAACCACTCACACCAAGTACACTCAGTTTTTCCAAGAGAAGCCTATGATCGACCTTATCAAATGCGCTGCTAAAATCAGTGTATACTGCATCTACTTGGGAGCCTCTATCTACTTCCTCACATAGATCGGATATAAAAGGTATGAGATTCGTCAGTGTAGAACGACCAGCCCGGAAACCATGCTGATGATCCGATAGCATGTCATCGACAAAGGCTGACATGATTGGACATAGCACAGACTCGAATATCTTTGGGAAACATGAGAGTATTGAGATAGGACGATAGTTCTTGATATCGTCTTGCCGACCTTTTTTGAAGACTGGTATGACTCGGGCCTCCTTCCATGTACTGGGGAAAACACCTGTTCGAAGCGAGCAGTTAAAGATAATTGACAGTGGCAATGCCAGAGCAGGGCCACAGCGCTTGATGAAAAGGGGAGGTATAGCGTCTGGGCCAGCCCCTTTGAATGCGTCCAACCTTTTAATCGCATTGAGTACTTGTCTCTCAGTAAAGCTTAGTGAAGCAATATGTTTATCGTTCAAGGGCAATTCATAACCGAGGGCAGAGCGATCGACAGTTGGTGAAGGCACCGGCTCTGAATAAACAGAACAGAAGTGCTGAGCAAAAAAGTTGGCTACATCGGCACCAGATTGTGCAATTGCACCATTTAACTCCATATTTGTAGGTATTGTTGAGAGGCCACCCCTTTTGCTCTTAACATAACTCCAAAAAGCCTTAGGATTAATATGCATGTGTGATTGTATTAAGTTTTTGTAGTCTCGAAGACATGTGTTGTGAAGCTTGTGGGATCGTCTTCGAAGCAGTTCGAATTCCAGCTTATCACGCGGGTTTCCAAATTTAAGATATCTTTTGCGAATTTTATTTTTTTCAGATAGCATTTTAATGAGAGATGTATTAAACCAGCACGGATAACCAGGCCTTGTAGGTCTTCTTCTTGGCACAAACTCCTCAATGGCATTATTTAAGTACTTGTAAAGCTTCGCTACCATTTCATCAACAACCGCGCAACAGGTAAGTTCACTGATCCAATCAATAGACTTCAGTTTCAGAAAAATCGCTTCGTAATCTGCCTTATAGTAATTATACCTAGTATCTGTCTTTGTTCGCAAATAATTAATACTATCGTTGTATAATATCAATAATAAACTAGGGTGGTATCTGTTACACTTGCTCAGGCTGCATAAAGGACCCGACACAGAAGCATTCTGAAAATTACACAAAATGAGATCGAGAAATTTTCCATCGTCGTTTCTTATACAATTCAATTGATAAAGATTGTTACAGGAAATAAAGTCGACCATTTTATAGCCCAAAGGGTTGTTATAATTGGTTGGAAACATTTGAGGGTGACTCTGCTTAGGCTCCCACTGAATAAATCCAAGGTTGAAGTCCCCAAGAATTACAAGATCATCGCAGTAATTCATTATTCTTTCAACATTATCAAGGAAACGTGATAATGACTCTATTTTGACTGGAGGAGGAAGATATACAACGCAAATGGAGATCTTTTTTATTACGTCATTAACTTTTACTTGTATTGTAACCCAGAGATCCTCCAAGTCTGATTCCCAATTTGCTTCGCGCTTTGAGGATATTTCGCGAGAAATTGCCAGCATCACACCACCGCCATCTTTTTTTGTGTTAGATGAACTCTGGCGATCTCTACGGTATACTACGTACCTATTGTCGACAAGCTCATTATCATTTATACTGGAGTTGAGCCAAGTCTCGGTCAATGCGATGATCCTGAAACTCGAGGTTACTATATTACTTAGCACATCATTAGTTTTAGTTCTTAAGCCTTGGACATTTTGATAGTATATATCAAGGGAGGCGAAAGCGAATAACTACTCCACGAATCAATACCATGGATACTAATCTTATATCTATGATAAAAGCTTAAGGTTCTCCAGGTTTCTAATCAAAATTGCTTGGTGCGTCTCACTCTTACGGACATAAATGCGCCCGCCTCTAACCCAGACAAACTTATAAGCCAGTTCCTTAGCCTTTAGACGAGTCGCCGCATGAAGATACTTATTTCCCGGTGATAAGTGTTCCGACACGAAGACAGGCGATTGTGTTCCTCCGATGCCAAGGTGGTTAGAGCTGAGTTTGTTCTTGGAGTTCTTCTTGTTGAATTTGCTAACGTGGGCCAGGATTGTGTCACGAAGTCTTGTGTTACGGAATTTCACTACTACAGCTCGAGGTCGATCATTATTTTTGGACATTTTAGCAACCCTAGTTACATGCTGGATATCCTCGGGAGTAATTGGACTGTCAATAGTCTTCGCCAGCTGGATTATGGTATTAGTTAGGTTCTCAGCCCTATTCTCAGGAATACCGTTGACCTCTATGTTATTCTCTCGCAAGTGCATCTCGACCGTGTTTAGCCTATTTGATAGGTCATTTACTGTTTTTTTTAGGTAATCGTTGTCCTTCCTGAGAGCAGCTATTGTGGCTGTTTTCTCTTCACTACTTACTTTCAATTCCTCAAATTTACTGTTCAGAAAGCTTAGCGACTGGTGAAATCCAGCCATTCTCTCACTTAAACTTTTCAGTTCAGAAATTGTAGCTGCGTTGGCCTTCTGAATTTCATCCCTGATAATATGGCGGAACCTGTCTTCTGTTAAGGGGCTTGAGCCGCTGTCGTGTGATGTGCTGCTAGCCTTCCCTCTTATTGTGACGTTAGAGAATTCGCCGCCTTCGCTCGATTCAGTGTCACCTGGTAGGCCAGGTCGAGCGGGGCTGTTTACATTGCCAATTTTTGGCTGGCTACATTGGCAAGCTGGACATTTCCAGGTGTTTTTATGTCTTGATTCCATCGAGGCAAATTTTTTGGGTGTCAAGCCAGTGCATTCAATGTCATAAATTAACTTGCACAAGAAGCATTTTAAATTATCTCGATTCCCCAGCGTTCTGCGAC